AATATTTTCAGATAGAGATATTACTTCCATTCGCAAATACTAGTGTGGTGCGGGAAATTTCGGAAATCGGGGAATTTCAGGGTCCTAGCTCACGAATCCCCGTCTCCGATGTTCCTCCAGCTGCGGACATTTTCGGGTATTCTCCGTCCCTTAAAGCTCCTCGATTTTCCCCGTTCTCGACTTTCTTTCCTTTCCGACATCACACTAATAAATACATAATATGTTCAGTCAGTCACGTTGAGCTGCGAAATGCCGAAGTCTATTGCGCACTTCTTAGCAAGCAGAGTACGAATACCGTATCGAGTGTATTCTTCATCAAAAAATAGGAGTGTGCTCAACGTGCGAGCACTTTCACCGGTTTTCCGGATTCACATCTGGATAATGTTCCCGGATACCGGTTTATAAAGCTCGAGAACTCAAAGAGTAGTGGTTCACATATACTCTCAAAGCTGCAGCATTGTGACTTGAGGTGTTTTCGGTTGTTTTAATTGTTTCGTTGAGCAATAATTTTGATTTCGTTCCGATTGTTTTTGCACAATTAGCTGCGAAAGCTTAACAAATCGTTTAGCTGTGGCTTAATCTCTTCTATCTACTGGCTTTTTGAACATTCCATCGGTCATGCATCAGTTTAACAGTATTTCTGGTTATTCATACGTTGTGCACGTTGTTTTTGTTCTTTCTGTTGTCGAAATAATGATATCGTGATCGAAATAATGATCTAAGAATAAATACCTGTGCGGTAGCGAATTGTCTTGATGTACAGACTTGCAGGGTTTGTTGCAGAGTTGAATTGAACATTGGCTAATAATTGTTGATCGGTCAAGATGGTTTGTGGACGTGTTCGTACGAAAACCGTAAAGAAGGCATCACGAGTTATCATCGAGAAGTACTACACAAAACTCACTCATGACTTCCACACGAACAAGAGGATTTGTGAGGAAATCGCTGTTATTCCAAGCAAGAAAATGCGAAACCGCATCGCTGGGTTCGTTCCATTTCCTTTCTTCAGTTCACTTTTCAACTAATTTATCGGTCGGTCATTTTCTCTATCGGCTGTCGAATTTAGTTTGCTTTGTTTCTATTTGATAATTGCAAAATATGCAAAAAGGAGCAGCTAGAATTTGCACAGGAAACTGCGTTTACGTCACAATCTGACGGTGAGTTTGACGTTCCGTCAGTTAACGGTTTGCGTTTATTTTCTCACGAGCAGGTGAATTGCGACAGGACCTCAAATTCAGTTGAAACGTTTGATTCTGAATATTTTCTAGTTATCAGCAAACGTTGAAATATTCTAGTTATAGAAATATTTCAAATATTCTTTGGAATATTCAGAATATTCTAGTTATTTACTGAGCCACCGAGATTGACGGAATTCACGGTGATTCCGGATTGTAAGTTTATTAGAAACCGATTGGATTGTCATCTGACTGATCTATTTTTGTCATAACTCTGTCATTGATACACATATAATGAATGAAACTGTTTTTAAATTGTTCGATGTATATCCTTGAATTGCAGATTCATAACGCATTTGATGAAACGAATTGAACATGGCGCAGTGCGCGGTATTTCAATCAAGTTGCAAGAGGAGGAACGTGAACGTCGTGATAACTACATGCCTGAGATCTCTGTGGTCGACCCACGAGAGCTAACGCAGATCGATGTTGATCCTGAAACGAAACAGATGGTCGATGCGATGGTTTGTTATTCCTTTATTTGAGTCACATTTGCTGCAGTTTACTCAGTATGTACTATTCAACGATAAAACGGAAACAAGTGAAGGTGTAGGCGAACAATAAGCGTTAGTTCTTCTCACCACTTCACTAAATTTTGCATCCGATTCATGTTTAATCCCCCCCCCCTTGTTTTCTGTTTTAAAGGACTCAGTTCTGTTTTCTAATTGTATTTAGCATCTACTGTGTTGACTAATTATAAGGCTGGTATTTAGTTTTGTTCAATTCGTGTATGCGTTCATATTGTTTATGTTTGTTTTACTTGCGAATTATTAAAATTCACTGTATCAGTCACATTTAATCGTCGGATATCATTTCATAAATCTTCCCAAAAATCCCAATGAATCATTGATTTGGAGATCTGGATTTGGTGAGAAGACTTCTTGTGAACTTATGTTTGTATATATAGGTCTAGCTGGGACGAATTATGTGATGCATTAGAAATATAAAAACTAATCTGAGATATGGCTTTTCAGGATATGGTGATCCCAAATTTGAATGAAGTGAAACCATCGAGCGTTCTGGCTGCTCGCAGATGAGCTGAGATTGCAGAGTGTTGATTGAGTTGTCATTGTCATCCTTATACAAATTTTATTTGTTGTTTTTTGTTAAAGCATTGAACGTGCGGTTGGTATGTGAAACCAATAAACCTCAACGTTGTTCTCATTTTGAGTGTTGTTGTGCGACATTCATTGAGTGTGTAATTCCATAGCGATGACATGATTCGTGTGTTTGTTATCAAATCAAATCTGGATTTGATTTGATAACAAATCTGGATTGGCCAGACTATTAAACGTTCGTAACGTTCCTGGCCACAATGCTCGCGTTTCCGTGCACGTTGTTTCAGCCTCAATTTATGCCACCCCGCTGGCTAGGCGAGCAGGCGAACTGAACACAACCGAGTAATTAATTAGTTGCCGTGAATACTTTGCACAATTAAACGTAGCCAAATATCAGCCCAATAAATAATCATAACTCCAATAAAATAAATATCCTGCCGATCGCTCACAGCGATTGACAAAACAACCACTCGATATCTAAGTAACAATAATAATTTATATTGCCACCATTCTTTCTGTGTGTGTGTGTGTACTGTTCGATTCCATGAAACAATTCCATTTCTCGGCTGCTTATCGATGCAGTCAAGAGCCATCTTATCAGTCATTTGCAACACATCAGCAGCACATGCAATCCATCCAGCAACGTCATCATTACACAAATGAGTTCAGCTGACTTCAAATTACTGAACGAATCTCCAAATTTACTTACGTGAGACCTTAACTGTTATTGAGAGTAAGATGTAAACTGCAAACTTCAATACAGATGATAGGCATCAATCTACTTCCGTCGTCAAATCTTTACCCAAAAACAACAGAAATATTCTGAATAAACGAAACTGCCACAAGAACTATTGTACAAAGGAACCGAAGACAGTCAACAAACACGATGAATGATAAAACTATTGAAATGCTGAAAAGGTACAATAATACTCATCGACGAAGTTGAATGTTTATGCCTCTCTCTTATCATCAATATCACATCCTTCCTTCCTTGGCATTCTTCTTTCCACGCAGCTAACGACAATAGCGTTTGGAATTATCGGTCTTCATGAAATTCGGACTTGGACTATTGATCTGGCAAGCACAGAGGTTTTGGGATACTCTCCCATATTGCCCAATGATTTCTAAGAAGAGGGACTCAGAAGGAGCCCAAAAATAGTTTGATTTGCTGATTAAATGAAGTTGAATGTAATGCAAAATTTCAAACTGATTCTGAAGCAATTTTGAGATTAAATTGTAAGTATCTCTAATTGCAAGTAGAAGCAGCAGATAAGGTTGTGGATAAATCCAATGAACAACTAGCAGCAAGTTTCTGTTTTTACTTCAAATTATAGACGAATCTGATCTCTGACGATCGCTTCGTTTATTCATTCACTATCTGGCTAGGTTTTAGTTGACGAGACCCTCTTCCGGCTATTATTTCGTTAAGTTGGGTAGGTGAAATAAGCAAATGTGCTTGCAAAAATAGACAGTCAATATTGTTTACACTTGTTTTACTTGCGAATTATTAAAATTCACTCTATCAGTCACATTTAATCATCGAATATCATTTCATAATTCTTCCCAAAAATCCCTGACGAATCATTGATTTGGAGATCTGGATTTGGTGAGAAGACTTCTTGTGAACTTATGATCATATATTTATGTCTAGTTGGGAGAAATATTTATTATTTGAAACGTTCAAATCAAAAGAATACAACGTTGCATATATGTACAAGAAGATAACGAAACGATTGGTATGGTATCATTTCACTTCAAATTGAAACTGACATTGAAATATAATAAATCATTTTGAATTAGCAACATCAGTCGTATTTGTCCTTCTGTAGGTGGTGCCCCTTCTCCGAAGACGTCGCCTACCTGTCGAATGCTTTTTGTCAGGCGATTTCCCCTCGGATTTGAGTCGTCTGGCTTTTGAAATTTGACCGCTTGTCGATCGCCTGTATGAATTAGCCTCTTATAATGGGTGCTTTATACGATGTGATAAGCAGCAAATCGACTGACTTTTTAGACGTTTTCAGACGTTAATGTAGAAATTGTTCCAATGGAACTAAGATGTCAGTTTATTTCACTTGCCATCATTTCTTCAACAATTCAATGATGGAGATGAATGAGGATTTTTCAACGAATACATTACTCAATCGAGAACAAACCCTCTGATTGAGATAATAAATTAAAACAGTCGCGTATCTTTCGGAACTGCATGAGTCTAGCTATCATTCTCAAATAAACTTATAATGTTGGCATTTTGAAATTCATTGCAATCAATGAATCTCTCATTCAGCCAACAATTACAACGGTTCAGAACTGAGAATTCAACAAAAAAGCTGTAGAGGTTGTAGGAATACACTCAATAATATAGGACACATCCGCATGATACTAACCGATTTTTTTGTGAAAGAGCACTGCTAGGCTTTGACGAGTGCTTGTTCTCTGAGCATTTATTGCTCGTTCCCTCAGGATGATTCTTTTTTAGTGAGTTTTTAACTGTCTTCGAAGTTGGCTCGAGCAGGGTAATCCTTGAAAGAAGAGAGACTTCGATATATTCGACATGGGTCAGCATTAGCTCGGAGAATTATTTACCTATCGGAATTTTTGACGATTTGATGAAATTAGCGTTCAAAAATATTTATTTCTTATGGTGATTTACACGGGTATTACATTTACTTCCAAAATCATACAGGTAGCAGACTATCGCTGTTATAACCACTGAGTTCTTTCATCCACTCACCTTTTATTGTCTATTTGAGGTGCACTACAAAACGGCACACTCGATGGTGTGAACAAAATGTTTGTGCTCAACAGAGTGGTCGTAGTTGATGCCATCAACTAAAATTTTGCACATTGCTTACAGCATCTTTTTTATAAAACTGATCTGATTTTTCATTCAGATGATGACTTGTTAGTCAGATTTCGGCCAGTTCAAAGTTTTTAACAAATGGGAATTTCTGTATTCGACAGAAAATTCACAAGCTTCGGTCAACACCATGTATGTGTAAGACTGATGAATACAACAAATGCACAACTTTGCTCTCAAAGTTTCGGAAAAATTTTTGACGATTTGATGGAATTAGCGTTCGAAAAATGTTTTTATTTCTTATTTTTCACGGATATTTATTTTTTTCTACGGTTATTTTTTCTACGGACACTACATTGAATGCCGTAATCATACAGGCAACAGCAGACTATCGCTGTCATAACCGCTAATTTCGATTAGGTCTGTTCCGTTCAATTGAAGTTTTTGCTTAAATTCCGGCAGGCCTTGTTCTCGGTAATGGGTTAGACAAACACTTTTAGCGACCACAACTACATGGTTAGCCATTTTGTGGTTAAGAGGTGCTCTTTCAACGACGATCGCGCTACTGGCTTACCTTATAAATGTCGATCTTTTTACCAGATACTCCAGCTCTTAAAGCCTCATCCACCTTCAGATGCTTCAACGCCATTTTCACCGCTGCTGCAGTTTTACTTAACGTATTGTTAGTAACATTAAAGACGGCACTCGCTACTGACTGACGATGCACAACACCCGACACCTTTGCCAGTGTATCCGCTTGAATATATTTTTGGCCTTCTCCAACGAAACTGCGTT